TTCTTCTTACAACTTCAAACAGAAGCTTGTGCCAATGATGTCGTTCAGAATAACTATGAAAGATCCACGACCAAACCAACCAGCTCAGAGAAAAAACTCCACCAAAATCAACCACCTGAGCTACAACTTCTGTCTTTCAATCTACCTTTGTTTTTCTCTTTTTCCCTGTTTAACAGTTCTAGTTCCGAATCGAAAGCTGTAAACTTTGAGAGATTTGATATTCTTTATAAGAACAGGGGAATCCAGGGGGGTTGAGATTAAAAGAATGATCATATTATAAAACAAACAGTAAAAGAGGATGAAAAAACATAGGTTTCAGTATGTAGCTATGAAAAAGACTGTGGAACTACTAGTAAAGCATCACTATGCTCTAGCCAAATCATCTAGTAAACAGGTCACTGAAAGTCAAACAGTTTTCCGGTCCTCTTCAAGGTTACGTATAGCCAATGAACATTAATCAATTGCATGCCATAGGCAGTACCATGAGGCTGTGGTATTTCCTCTTGCACCGTTGTAACTTGTTCATACCAATATATACTGCTTCCCGTTCAGAGTATTCAGCATAGTCAAGTTGACTGACAAGTTTACGACAACAGGACAAACTAGATCAGGTACCAGTTGCAGTGTGTGACTTCGACATAAAATAGGAAACCACAGTTGCTGTCCAACTGGAGTAGACCACACTAGTCAATACAGGCCGAACACTTTGGTGATCTACACAGGGAAAAGTGCGTTCACTTAAACCGGTTACAACAAATAATCCAATAACTGACGAAAAGCAATCTGAATGATTTTGGACGGTCAGTTGGCTATTTTATAGTTAAAGGCATGTTTCAAGCTATCCAAGGTTTTGGTAAAAACATAGAGAGATGAAGGATAAGAGTGAAACTAAATAACGTATGATAAAAAATATATTCCACTACTCTGTCGTAACACTTCTGGCCACAAGAACGCAAGTTCATATTGACGTATGGATAAATTTCAGGCATCAATCTGAAAAAGATTCAGCGTAAGGAATAATCAGTTACTAACTATTAGCAAACAATCGGAAATAAAAAGTCCTGAAAATTTACTCCTGTTCCCATTATCCTCGTACAAGTCATTGTCTGTGCATATCGTTTACAAAAACAAGTCATCTACCCATCCTGATCACTTAATTCAGTATATACCTTACCTCAATATAATAACTTCTTGCCTAGCCCTGATCGTTGAATCCAGGAGATAACATCAGCCTTCACTGTACGAATAATATGTTTCAGACATACGTGGCTTATATACAAGCAGACCAAACCACATCACACCATATAAAGAGAAATAAAAATCATATAAGATCAGGCTGAAAGTGGCTGTGTGTGTGAGAGACTGTAACCTATAAATCGAGAATAAATTAAGAACAGAAAATTGTATAAAATTAGTTAATAATTCAAATGAATACCTATGAATAAAGGAATACAAATATATATGACCCAGTTATCCAATAATTATGATTATAATTATGTCGAATAACTTGATAATTTCGATATTTGATTATATTTCCTTGAAAAATCATGAACCAGACTGCCAGGCGAAACGTTGGATTTACTTCAAAAATTCGTTCGTTCAGGTTTTACAAATAGATTATTTCTCTTTAATGTCTTTCTGAATAGTGTTCTAGAATCTTGGTGACCACTTGGATTCATCTTATTATCATTATTATTATTATTATTATTATTATTATTATTATTGTTCATAAACATCTTATGGGTACATAAGTGTTGTGAAGAAACCATTTCGGGTTTCTTCAAAAAATGCAATAATTCACAATTTTCAATAATGTTAGCATTATACTTGCCATATTTAAAAAAATTTAGAATAATAATAGTAGAATATTAATAATAATATATCGGGTCTGTGTAATTGAGAAGAATGTTGAATTGAGTTTAAAGAAGGAAATGGAGAAAATAAGGGAATAGAAATAAAGGAGACATGAAATACGCCGACAGTGTAATAGGCGTGTTTATGAACACAGGACAAGAATAAACGACTATGTGTGTATCGTTAAATTAGTACGAAAAAATAATTGCAGTAAGATATGACACTAGAATAGATGTTTGTGCAGTTATAGTTTAGAGTGATACTATGAAAGTCACAATTAAGTGAAAAGGATAACGAAATATCACTATGTAAGAGTCATATATGCATAGTGAAGATAAAACGAATCTGAGAAGTTAATTAAAGTGTAACACAAGTTATTGTTTTAATTACAAACTTCGTAATCTTAAGAATAATATTTATTTAGAAGGAAAGAAGAGAAAGAAAAGAAGTGAACACCTAGTGAAAAGATTCATCCATGATAAGAATAATAATTGTGTAATGAATATCAACCTCAGAAGGAAACCAGCAATTGAAAAAAATAAAAATAAAAATCCTTTAAAGCACTCGGATGAATACATTTCGATTTATGTAATAGTATACAGAATGATATCGGATATTAGTATAAATATTTGTGCAATAATGATGAAGATTGATGCTATGAAAGTCAAAATTGATTTCAAAGGACAATCTGGAGTTAAATATGTTTAAAAGGATAAGAAGAGATAGTTCCGTAATTCGTAATTCATGCCTTGCTATGGTGTTCCCTCAGTATTATGGTAATTCACTTCGGATTACACATAGAATAAGACTGGTTGTTAAAAAATTCACGACTAGATTTGCCAGTTCTATTAGTAATCTACGAGGCACTTGGTTGAGTTCTATGAATTAACCTGAATCAAGTATATTTCATAATCAAAGTACATCGTGTTTTTTGATGGTCACAATGTTCAGAGACTTATATAAACACAAAGATAGGATGTCCTATCACATATACATTGCCAAGGTATTCAGCGAATACCCAAGCTTTGTTGTATTTGTTGGATGAAATTCTGAATTTCCTCTTCATTCCTTTATTTGTGTGCGGATATATGCATTTTGGTTATTTTAAAGACTCCTTAACAAATTCTTCTTCGGATGATCTTCCAGACTCGCTTAGAGCTGGGACACAAACATTCCAGATTTCCAAATTTTTCTGGTCAGCACCGAGTTACCTCCATTGATTTTTAAAAAATATAATTGTGTGAACATCTTTGCTGAGCCATTGTAGGGAGTTTATTAGATTCTTTAATGTAGTAAAGGGGACATAAGGTGCCTTAGCTATCGTGTAAAGACTCTAAAAGAACTCTCAAACTGTTTTTGTACAAGGATGTGCTTTTATTTTTTCATCTATTAAGAATTCTGAGTGTATTAATTTTTGTACGCTTACTTCCCAAAATGTTTGAACTATCTTGAGGTGGAACATCGTTATTGACAGCTATATGGAAATAAAAAATTGAAACCTTATTATCAGTCTTACCTAAGGTTGGTATAAAATAGAAGTTTGTAATGTTATACTCATAATGGATTCATATGAGACCAGGCAAAAATGATTTGGAGTCCGGGCCGTACCTAGTTATTGCTTTCACATGTCGCCCTACGGCACATGTTATCATCACGTCAACTAGTTTTTGTTCAAAATAATTTTCTCTTAGCTCAGTTCTAAGATTCCCCCAGTCTAATTCAGTTCTAGCAAAATCGTCTAAACTTAAGCATCGGCTACTCAAAGATCAGACGTTAAGTCCATCTAGTGAGACTTGATTTACCACAGTTTGGATTACTGTGAACCAAACCAACCATTAGCTCCGTTCTCTTACAATTATAACGGCAGATAACCATTTCGTAAATCCCACTACCGTGAGATATGCTATGGATGTGGTCCTGCATTCTTTCAGCCTTTATTATTTGAAGCTCTAGAAACCAAGTTTCCTATTATCTACACATTATGTCGGTCAAATGTTTGTTATGGCTTGGTCAATTTTATCTGTATACTTAGCTCCGATCACTTGTTCAACAAGTTCCAGTCATATATGTGGCAAATCAAAAGACTGCTCAAATGGCTTCAACATCATCCTCTCTCGAAGCCTCATCTTCCAAAGACGATGCAGAGTTTCTTTACATCGACGGTCAGTCATGGTTTCAGTTCATTTTCAACATCTCACCTCTTCATAAAGTAAGCGATTGATAGATCTTCCTGGACAAAGACGCCTGACCCCTTCAGTTTGTGTCCATTTCGTGGTGTTAAGTCCCTCCAATCATGAATTTAAAATACCATCTTTTGCGATGTAGTTCGACTTTTTTCAAGCCCGTATAACTACCTTGTCTATACATCTTCAGTTAGGTTGCACAGGAGAAATCGTGAGGCACTATTTTTTCAAGTGAACCACTTACCAACCGAATATTATTTTAAAAGCGTATGTTGTGTTCAGAACACTCACTTCCGTAGACCCTATGAAGGATGACTGACATGTCAACATAATCACACTACGAATCTTCAACAACGGTTAATAAAATCGGCTTCGTGTTTGTGATATTAGGTTGTTTCTTGCTTTATATTTGAATTTATTTGTCATTTTCTCCGAAGCTACAGCCCACAGATACGTTGCATTTAGATTGAGATCCCGAAGCACTTTAAACGAATGGGGTGTAGCATGGTGTTGGGTCGCAGTTGACTGTGAACACCGCTAACAAGAAACACGTGCCAGATAAATCCATAGAATCCCCCGGAAGCCAAATATCAGAAGGCAGTTAATGGACCAAGTCCAGATATATTTGCTGGCTATCTCGTGGTATCGAAAGAATACCGAGATCGTGCAAGGATACAAGCTTGGTTACAGAGCGTAACCGAATTCGCGCGAGGTCATAACCAAAGTGTGAGAATAATGGATGTTTTTAGCACAGTTAAACAAAGAGCACATTAAAACAAGCACTGGTACAATTGGTTCTAATAATAATTGTTTTCAATAAACCAATCGTGTTCTCGTGATAAAAGTGAGTCACTACAGCGGTATGCGATTCCAGAAGAAGACAAATACGTAGATCTGTGTATAAACAGTCAAGAAAATGCACATATAATTAAAAAAACAGTTGACAGCAATTAGGAACAATACGTAAAATTAAAAAACATGGTAAGGAAAAACTAGAAGATTATAGCTAATGGTTTAGGAAACATAACACGACAAATATCTTAACATAGTGTTCATTCAAAATTCGAGATAATCAGCGAGTTCAGTTCGTTCATAAGCCGCGGTTTTTAAAAGGGTAGCAGGTGAGTCAAGTTATAGTTTTCATCGTTTATTGTTCATCAAGGCTACTGTCATTTCAATTGAATTAACTCCAGTCTAAGTGATACTAAGAGTATTGCTTTTCCGAAAGCTGTTAGCATCTGTACTTTTATATTAAATACAACAGTTCTGTCTGTTGAACTATCTAAACTTTACAGTCCGCAACTCACTGTTTGCTTACCGCACACCTTTTTGAGTTTTTAGCTTTTGCATCTACATGTCTTTTCAAAGTTATTTACAAACCTATGATTGATAACTGCTCAGTGTAAGAAGGAGTGTTTGTTAACGCCTTGGTTGTCGATAGCCGGTGGGTGGTGGAAAGCACTATGATGTATGGAAATCATAGTACCACGACGTTTGAAGAAGTATAACACTCTAGTGTGGTTGGTATTTTCTTTAGTGTAGATATATCTGTAGTTTTTGCCTAGGAGAATCGTATGTGATACCCACGAGTGCTTTGCTATTATTTCTGTTACCGGAAAACTTGGCTGTTTCAAGGTTAAATCTGGTTCTGATATTAATCTCAACGCATTTCAATAACTGAAACAAAGTAGGGTCAATGTTTCATGAAGCGCTTCATACAGACTAAATTAAAACCAAAATTACATTCAAATAAAACACAATGACCTCAAAATACTAGCTGTATATTGAAATCAGAGCATAAAGCGCATTTTGATGAGGTTCATATGAGCAATGCTTCTCGGTTCGGTATTCAACTACACTGGTCTTTTATACATTCATCAAGTGCAGTTTATTTCTGTTCTCTATCTAGACGATGTCGAATAAGTTATTATTTGGTAAAGCTCTTACCTCATACGACGATGAAGATATTGATGAATTGTTGTCTAAGCTAACACCAGAGGAGCTGGAGCAGCTTAATGATGACTTTGATCCCGACAACTCACTGCTTCCTCCTTCACAGAGGTGTCGTGACCAGACTACCAAAACCCCAACGGGACCTTATGATCGTGAAAAATTACTAAGGTAACTATTGTTCATGTTTCTTTTTTTAAATAATGGTTGATCCCAGTTGAAGTATAGGCTTTCATACTAATATACATGCACTTATATTTCGGACTGAAATGTTTATTTTACACGAGGTTTCTTCTAAGTTCGTTCGAGCGCTGCTGGATAGCGTTTCAGCTTTAGTAAAACACTAGTCAGGTACTAAATTCCAAAATCGACATTTATCTGATAGTGATTACCGACTCAAGCCGGTGTTTGCAGTTCTGAATTCGTTGGGGAAGCATCAGTTCTTGGATATCGTCTTTAGCATCTAGCTGCCCTTGTACGGCCGAGACTACTTGGTTGGGGTCCGCGTGACTATCGTAACCAATGGTTGGAGACTCTTGGTGACATGGCTCAGAATCGATCACAATGGCGTCGGTGTATACACTCCCTGTCTTCCCTTAAACTATGAGATTAAAATCGCTTCATATCTTTCTTTCTACGAACCAATTCTTTCTGCTTGTACTATATCTCTATATGCAATCTTTCTCATATATTACCACCTTTCACCTAACCACTGTTATGAATCTGGTGTTCATCTTGTTGTGTTGATGCGGTATGGCAACCTGGACCGATGCACATATGTGCCTGGTCCTACGTTGTAGCTGACTGACTGACTGACTGTACGGCCGAGGGTGGGGAGTTCGCTCTCCCTCTCGACATGCTCTCATTTGGCCACGTTTATACGACTACTGCCTTCTCCCGGCGGGGGTATTGTTTACGAACTTGAGAGGACGAAGAGCGAACATCCGGCGCTTTAACCGGGTTGGTGGATATGGTGATCACCTAGGAGAGTTGGAAAATCTAAACTCCAAACCAGTGGTACACGTGCAATCAAGGATCCTGAAGGGACAGACGGTGTGTAAACCTATTGTTGGTCACTAGCTGCAATGTGACTGCATCTTCTGACGTTGCTCCACTGCGTTGTGGATTAGACCTTTAGGTCAAAGGCTCGGGGTGTGGCCCCCTAAGAGAACCACCTGCTTCGGTCTGAGCACCTGGGCAGTATCACAGCCCTCATACAAATCAATAATTACTACTGGCCTCATTGTTTTTGTGTGGTGAATATGTATTTAGTTCTCCCTTGTACCAATCTTAATGTGTTCAAATAAGTAAAATGAATGTCGTTTAGTGTCGACAGACCACACGATGTATACCTTTTACTAGTAATTTTGTTTTCAATTCTCATTTATTTTGTATTTCTCGCTCTACTGAAGAAGAAGATTACAGCTGTTTGGTTGGATAGTGGATAGCAGTGAAATCCAGGACACGCGCTTCGTCCTATTTGAGACTCGTCGTTTGGATGTACCTAAATCTCAGTTTGTGTTGACTCCGGGACTTGAACCCAGTACATATACCGATAAATGACTGATCAACCACAGTCCTAAAAGTCAATTGGAAGATTCAAACAACCGATACAAAAAGGAATTAAACTTCACCCCATTGCACAAGCCAGTGGCTATCTGAACCCAGTAGCTAAGTAGATAACGCGACGGCGTTTGAAGCGAACGGTACTGGGTTCAAATCTCGGAGTGAACATCCAGTTGAAGAGTCCCAAAGAGGACGAAACACGCATCTTGGATTACATTGCTAATCACTATCCATCTTTGCCTATAGTGCTGGATTAACTGTTCAATCCTTTAAATGTTATTTCAAGTATTGTCATTGAATTAACAATTTATTGATTTCGATTTTGCGTTCCCATTCTAAACATGTGTAAAGTAATAGAGAAATAAAGCGAGTACAATGTTTCCCCATATTTGAGTGTCTTCTAAAATAAGATGAGCTATGGGAGTTACACTTCGCGACCCATTTTCAAAGTCATTCATTCACGTCAAAAACCGAATACAGTAGATATGATCAAACTTTTCGTTTTATATAAGCATCAGTTTAAAACAATTAGTCCCTTTGATAAATTTCGATAATGATGTTAGAAGACAAAGATTATCAGAACTATGTGATATATTAGCGCAATACATTTCGAACAATCTGGTCACACATATACTTGTTAAGAGCATTTATATATAAAAATAAAAGGTCAACTAGACAGGAAACGGGATAAGAGGAGATAAGGATAATGATAAGAGTAATAATAATAATAATGTGAACACAAAGCGAAACCTAATCACTCTGGTTAATAAGTCAATATTACCAAGGTAGGTTTAAGGTAAGAACAAACTGTTTTTGAACACATAAAAGGGGTTTGAATTTTCGTATGGCTAAGGCTTCAATGAACCTCAGTATACGCCCTTTTACACTTTTATACAGCACTACAAAAGCTGAATTTAGATCAATCTTGTGACCTGTTTCAATTATATGTTTAGCAATAGAGGATGATGGATGTTTATCCTCTGCTGTTATTGGGTCACTTGATTGTATTTGTTTCTGAAGCCATTTGGGTACATGTTCACTCACCCTAATGTTGAGATCACGATTACTCCCCCCTATGTATGTGTGACCACACACACATTTAAATTGGTAAACACAGTGGGGTGTGACGTAATCGTTTCCATGTACTTTAGGTTTTGAATGAAACATGCACCTTGTTCTTTCTTTGATGACCAGATTGTTCGAAATGTATTGCGCTAATATATCACATAGTTCTGATAATCTTCGTCTTCTAATATCATTATCGAAATAAGCATCAGTGTTGTTTTCTAAAATTTTGACAGTTTCCAAAATATTTTACTATTTTTCGGAATATAGATATCTCATTGAAAAGGCCAAAGCCGAAAGGGATTGGGAAGAAGCTGTGCCTTATGAAAAAAAGAAAAGGGGAAAAGTCTATACACCAAAACAAACTATTTCACCGAGCACGCAAAACGAATTAATTGAAATGGGTTTCGATGTAGAGCTTGATGATGATGTAAATAAGGTATGTACGCTGGTTATTTCGTGTTTTTAATTTAAAACACTATTTACAATAATGATTTCAGTAAAATAGACAAATTCAATAAATAAACCTCATATTTTTTAGTAAAAAATATTAAGTGCTCAAGGTTTATCCAGTCGATTGGGGAGGTATTAAACTTGAGTGAGATTGGCTATTGCTTCAGCGGATTTGTTCATAACTCAGTACTTCTCTAAATAACTGACTGATATTACCCATGTCCGCATCACAATGCTTTCCTGCTGGTAACAGGTATATAATTTCATGTAACACATTCAAGGTTGTGTGAAGCATTAGTGCAACGCAGCGGATCTCCATTTCAAAAATGGTGTTAGGTTTTTCACATCTATTTTTGTTGGTTTTTGACGTACAAAACTATATATATATATATCCGATTTTATCTGTTGTGTTGCGAAAACCTACACTAAGACTCAATAATGATGTTTATAGTATTGATAAGTAGGTAATCCTGTCAATTTTGTCCTGTGTCCGGTTTGTTTTTTGTGATACGTTATTTTGTAATTTTTGGAATTATATTTGTTCAGAAATTAAGATGGAAAACTGTGAGGATTTCTTGAGCTGGTAACTTTACATGCTCAAAGTATTAGCACTTTTTCGGGTAAAACTTTTATATTAGATTACGGTTAGATATTATCTGTGATGAGTACCGGTTGACAAGTTCTGCTGACCACCCTACAAAATCTAACATTGTGTTTCGTAAACACGGAGTCATTCCTCGTACTCCGTTCAAATTTCAGAGGTCTGTTTGCCTTTTAAGAAGCTAGTTTTCTGGCAGGAAACAAAAGTTATCTAACAGTTAATTTAGACTTTCACGATCGGTAACTGTTAGCTAAGAATATTTCAAATTATCTGGTGAATAATCACTTTGTTTCATATTTATAAGCTTTATTTTTATCTACACACCATTCACCCTGCAACTGTCGATCGTAATTCCTTTCTTGTCTACATAAAATGAAAAAAAGAATAACCGACGGGGTTTGTACAGTTTGTCCTGACGACCACTTATTTTTACCACCATTTTTTATTGTATTGATAATGAAAATTTTAGCCGTATTGTGTCATGTAACACAACGTTTGTGAATTTACACTATAAAAATGATATTTTTGTTAAGGCTCTTGAAAATGCTACTGAAGATGAACTTGTTGATTTGGCTGCTGTCCTGGGTTTTACTGGGATGTTGAATCAAGTACAGTTCCACGCTAGTTTAGAAGGACGTAAATTGGAAATGGGTGGATTCTCTGGTGTGGCTAAAGCTGAACGTCCTAAAGTCGTGCCGGATGAGCCACCTAATATGACAGATGTAGAGGTTTGTCTCGTTTTTTCCTGTACTTGGTTAATCCTTTTTCTTTGTAGCTTAACATCATTTGAAAATTGAGGAGCACTAAACAGTTTTTCCTTCACTAAAGACTACTTACCATCGTTCTCTATTCTGACCATGCTTTGTAATTTAGCCTTTCGTAGTGAACCCTTCAGTTTTGTATCATGTTGGTTCAGTCACAAATGATTGATATTTTCTACCTTCAAGTTGCTACTTATAGGTGTATGCTCAGGATGTCTAGTAACATCAAAGGCGGTGGGTTAGTGTCCGGTTATGCATCCAAGCCTTTTTTACAATAAATTTGTTGATTAACAAAGGAAGTGAATAGACCGTTTTTCAGTTCAACTCAATTTTTTGATTTATTACCTAACTGACTGGCCTTTAAAACTGTCTGACACTGCCATATCAATTCCGGTATTATGCACAGTATACATACTAATTAAATAAATGTATTCAACAAAGGATACCATGTTGTCGCCATAAAGCCGTCGACTGTTGAACCAAGCCCTACTGGTAGGTCCAGACTGGGTGCTTCGGGTTTGCACGATCACCATGATCAGTGGTTAGAGACGTTGATTAATAGCTTAGAATCTATCAATATGGCCCAGGTACAGTCATTCTTTGTGTACTCTCGGATCCCGAATTTTACAATTATTTTGTACTTATTCAGCGAATTCGTTTTTTCTTCTCATATCTGTTATATTGTTTGATCCTGTTCGATCCTGTTACCGGCATAAAAGCTTCCTATAAGCGAGCCCAAACCAGCTATTTGATTGAGAAAGAAGCTTTCTTAACTAAAACTGAATCGTAAATATATGCACACACTCATAAATATGCATTTTCCTCGCTTAGAAAATAAAGCCACATTCTCAACCAATAGCGTTTGCATTTTTCCTTAAGAAATTCAGCAAAACGTTAGCTAGTAGAGTTGGTTTAATTATAGACCTGTCTAGCTGACCCAGCGTATCAAAATCATGTTCTCCATGCTGTCATTGCTGTTACTACTACTTTCGCTATCCATCTTGGTAGTCTTATCATCAAGTAGTGTGGCGACTGAAGGTGCTTCACGTGTGTGAGGTCCTATGTTACTTATAGCTAACACTACTTTTTCAAAAAGATAATGATTAGTCGACATTAGACCCTCTATTTAGTGGTCAGTAACCAGGACTTCATTTACTTTTATAACTTGTCCGTGTATCTACATTTTCAATACTTAAGAATTTAAACTAGTAGGTATCAAAACATTTTCTATGGTGTTTTTCAATCAACTAGGTCCGATCTTGTAACCTACGGTATATAATTGTTTATTTCTGTTCTGTGGTTCAATTTTACTCTCACCTAAAAATAAACTATTATTTCAAAAAGACTGCTTTATTCCTCCAAAGTTTCACATATCTTCATACTTGGATTCATCATTTATTAAATAAAAATAATATATTTGTAATATACCAATGAGTAGAAAGTTAGATTTTCTGACGTTTCGTGACATAGTGTAAGTCACTTCCTCAGAGAATAAATAACCAAATTAAAATCAATCCAAGTTTAAATAGTACAACAGAACAATGCAAGAATAATATTTGATCAAGTGACTTACACTAAGTTACGAAACGTCAGAAAATCTAACTTTCTACTCATTGGTATACTACAAATATTTTATTTTTATTTATAACATCCAACCCAATGCTCAATTTATTCGAAATTATCAAATCAAACCTTGGTAATGACACCTACAAATTCATCATTTATTACTTGCTCACTTTAAACTGCTTGTATTTTTCTTTCTATCTTTTATACGTTTCAGGATAGTATAAAGAAATTGGAAAATAACAGTAAAGAACTAACTAAATTAAATTTAAACAATATCAAAACAATAAGTGCTGAAGCAGTACAACGCTTATGTGCCGCTCTTACAAAGAATAACCAGTTAATTGAATTGCATATGGCAGCAACACGTTTAACAAACTCAATGGTTGAACCGTTCTTTGATATGTTGCAAAAAAATACTGTATTAAAAGTATTAAATTTGGAGTCGAACTTTTTGACTGGTTAGTCGAAAACATTATATTTACTGTGAACAAATATTAAAATTACAAGCGGAATTTGACATGTCTCAATTCATAAGAATAAATTCAGTCATTAGTAGACGTAAACATATTGCCATAACGTATCAAGAACTATAGAAGTGTAATATGTGCCAAAATACCACAATGAAATAGCAGATTCGAAGCATCTTACATTCGATTAGGTTGGTATACATACATATTTTTGTATTGTGTTCTATGAGCTGAATAGTTCAGTTACGAAGCTTCCGTTGATGTTGTGCTATTCGTCGTTTAACGATCCAACTTTTCCCAGGTCTGAATGAGTCATTACTCTGTTCCGTATTTCTGGAATAATGATAAGGGTTTTTCGAGGTTATATGTATCCATTCGTTACTTTCTACAGTGTGTTATTAAAAATTTCTTTCCGTAAAAGTGAGGTATTATGCGTATATGTATTTATGTGCCTGGTCCTACGTTGCAGCTGATTGAGGTATTATGTCAACATTAATTGAACCTTATTTTGATTCTATAAAGTCTTTCTTATATATTTGTAAACATTTACATGTGACCTCCCTGTACATATACATATGCAATACATATAAACGTACACATACAAGCACATGCTTGTTGTCTTATCATACGGTTCTTGTTTATGCAAGTGTCAATCGATATAAAAAATGTGTAACTTCCACTAAATTTTTGATTCCAGATTATTTGTTTATGTGTATATTGTACATTATCCCATTAGGAACGATAAGCTTTTTCATATTTTTTTTCTCTGAGTGATAGTTTTCTCTCAGCCACAGGTTTACGTTTGGTGTCACAAATGTTGCTTCCTTTAGAACAGGATTCTAGACTTTAAAATCCAGTTATATAGTGAACATAAACCAATTAGTTTTATGGCTCAACTATCCAGAATTGGTTTGTTCTTTTCAAACTTCATTCGATTTGCGAGTGTTTTCAGTCAGTCATAATGTAGATCCTGCCACAAATGTGCATTGACTCTGATTACCGTGCCACAATGCGAAAGACTGGATGTTGAGAATATGGTTCAAAAATGCAGAATAATAAGGTATATGTAGTAGAGTTCTTTAACTTACGATCTAGAGTAAGATAAAGAATGAATGCATGTTTATTTAAACACATAAATATCGGTAAAAGGAGGCACCAAACAGATATGCACCACATAAATCATTCGGTTTGTGTGAGGGTTGGGATACTGCCTGGGTGCCCAAACCGAAGCAGGAAAAGTTTGTGCTCGTCTGTGATGCATGTGCGCCATTGTAAACCATCATAAATTATGTCTTGATCGCAGTTGTGCGGAACCCAAGCAATTAGTACGTACCTACTAACATAGCCAAGTTCTACAGTTGATGACGTGATGCATTGGTGCTACTTTTTTTATCTGACCAGACCTGTATCTATACCAGTGAGAACATGTGAAGATAGGTGGTGGTTGGACATACTTGACATATGTCCTAACCACCTCATTCTATAAAGGTTCACGATTTTATCAACCAGTTTGTCATCTTTACCTAGAATTCTCTGCCTAACCCCAACAAAAACGTTCTAACAGTCTGGTTATCTTAAGCCAATCAACAACATGTTTCTCAGTAAGGTGACTTTTCGCTCATTGTTATCATATCTATTGTGTAGTGCGTTTTACTGATGACAAAAGCAAGAGCAGATAGTAGATATGTTCATTCAAGTTTATTTCATCCAACATATTCCCGCGACCAAGGTAGAAAGAACTGGACTCGAGGAGTTTGTTTGGCTATAGATTACCTAATGTTCATATAGAGTCAGTGGGTAGTTCAATATGAATGAAATGTAGTCAGTGAACAAAACGAACGATGATAATGTACTTAGGTAGTTTTCTTTTAAAAACAACTTCTGTTTTACTTTTAATTCATCAAACTACTTATCTATCATGCTTTTTTTTATATTTCAGGTGTTATCCTCGTTCGTTTATTGGAGTCAATTAGCCATGAAAAAAGTGGAATAACCGATTTGCATTTAGCTAATCAACGTCAATCTGTGCTCGGTGTAAAAATTGAACAAAATTTGACCGAATTAATTCTAGCCAATCCCCGTTTAGTTCGTCTGGGCTTAGATTTAGAGACTAGCGATGCACGTGTACGTACCAGGGAACATGTCAAATTTAATTTAGATCGTGTTTCTCGGCAACTACGGCGTAATAAAAATTAAATTTTTATGTGAATATATAAGTACGTTTGAACATTTTACTGATTTTCACTTTAATTTGCCTTTAATTTACCTACTTATTTTTCCCATGTATTTTGCTTCTGTAAGCTACAGAATTAGCCTAGTATTATTAAGTTGGTTTACATGTGCACATTTATTTGTGTATATCCTGTTATTCTTTTCAGTTTGGTCTGTTTGTGTTAGTCGATTTCACTGTTGTAATGCATCTGTTAACATAATTTCAAAATGTATATCTGGCTTTGTTTAGTCATCGTTACTAATATATACTCATGATGAACACATCACCATATTATGAGTCCAAAATAATAAAAATCATCTAAATTCTTATAATTGTTGCTTCCTTCATGTTCATAATCGAAAAATAGCCACTTCAAGGTAGTCAAGATTTACACTTCCATTTGATTTTGCTTCTAATGTGTTTCTATCGTGAGTTGAAAGTTCGAATGATACGATTGTCGTTGCTTAACATCTTCCTATATTTTACTTACTGTCTTCCATTTGGTTACATGCATTCTGTATTTAAATACAAATAAATTAGTCTTCTTAGTCACAAATTTAATATGCAATTAATCAATTTTGTTTGTAATCACTTTTATTTGTAATCTTATTGGATAGTTTGAATTTTTTCTGGTAGGCGTTTTTTTAGCGAGTTAGTTTTCTACGGGATGGGGACGCTAACCCCATGCCCAACCCTCCTCCTTTACCCGGGCTTGGGACCGGCAGTAACTCTAGAAGAGCTACAGGCGGAGTTTAGGAAAAGATGATGGAAATGGATAGGACATACATTACGCAACTTATCAAACTGCATCACGAGACAAGCCCTAACTTGGAATCCTCAAGGGAAACGGAAAAAAGGAAGGCCTAAGAACACATTACGTCGGATAATAGAAGCAGATATGAAAAGGATGAATAGGGACTAGAAGGAGCTGGAAAGGATTGCTCAGGACAGGGTTGGATGGAGAATGCTGGTGAGCGGCCTATGCTCCTTCACGAGGAGTAACAGGCGTAATGAAGTAAGTAAGTAAGTAAGTATTGGATAGTTGGATATACGGTGACAACTACTAAAAAGCACAAAATAACTGTTAGCTATTTCTTCAACTTCTCTGGGCTGTATACCATTATATCTAGGTTGTTTTAGTGTCGTGTTGCGACTGACAAAGCCGTTCTGTTTTATGTTTCAACGTTAGATGGACTCTAGGTTATATGAGATCGGATCCGACAGGGAGCATCAGTTCCCTCAAAATTACAGGTACACCTTGCTGATGGGTACCAAATAGCATTAAACCTTGGTTCGGGGTATATTTGTCAGATAAGGTAGTGTAGAGCCTTTATATATTTGCTTTCGTGCATGGATTATAATGTATTGACATGTTGTACCAGTATACAGTGAGAAAGATATGGATGGTTAATGTCTGGTAAGATAACACCTGCCAGGTGTTTGCAAGATTTTAATTGTCTATCCGCAACCATATTATTAATGACCTGAGAAGGTCCACTACACCCTGCTAAATGCCTTCAGCACTCTGCACAATACAGCAATGTCTTCTCATAAGCTCGGGGAAAATAATGGATAACAATAAAGAATTAACAAGTCGCGAAAGTAAATGCTGAACAAAGCCAATAGCATGTTACTTTTATGTGTAATAAGTCGGACAAGAAACTTTCTTCGATAACAAAACATGGGAACACCAAGAGAGATCAGAGGGAAAGCTTACACTAGAATAAATTACCTTTGACATTATTAAAAAATCTCCAGTTGTACGAGTTTTGTGGGATTCTAACAGGGTGTTTGAGTGCTGTTCATGTCTCAAGATAAAGTGAATAGTTTAGAAAGATTAAGTGTGAAACCATTAGGAACAGACCATCGTTCACTAACAGACAAGAACTCATTCATTTCAAGGTGATACATACATACTTTGATATCGACTGCATATTTAGCAAAAGCGTTTTTTTAAGGAAGATGGCAGATCATGGAGAAAATAAAGAGGAAAGAACAGCTCCTTATGGCACACCATGAGTCAGTAGAGACATTGAACACTTCCCTCTAAACGCTACTATTACTTCCCAAAGAAGTAGGAACAGCTAGTTGGTTATCCAATTATCGGTGTCGACGCTGATAAACCTGTAAATTGTTGTGTTGTAAAGGAGTCCAAGGCAGACATATAGTCTAGAAATGCGCATCGAACATACCCTTTTCCAAGTTGAACACTATTATGATGCAGAACACTAACATTGTCCACCTGCGCTTCGACAGTACCTTCTGCAAGTGCCACCAACTAGTACGCGGGAAATAAAAACCAGATGCACCCTACTTGATCCAATATCCTAAATTTCAGTTGTTTGACACCATTGCCAAGTAGGCGGGTTTACTTTGGAGATGTTAACTAGCTAGATCGATGCAGTTGGATACGTTGTTCCCAACGTCCGAATCTAGTCGTGTAGGTAATGTGTTAGCGGCCGAGTAAGTCATGTGTCGATTGTGTTAAGTTTTAAGGTTTGATAGACTGTATATTGTACTGCATAACATATCGTCGGCTGTTGCAGACTTGAGTGCCAACACGAGGCAGCTACTGCCGAAGTCTGATGGGCGTAAACATCCGTAGGGATTCGATTGTGGACTATCAAGTCAGAACTTTTTTGTTATCTGGAGAGGTAATGGGAACGGTACACGCTTGTCTTCAGACAGAAGATAAGAGACAAATTCGTAAGTCAACAAAATAATGGGATGATTTGTTCGTATTTCAGATGGCCATGTTGACGCGGTTAATGGATGATAACCATAAAACATCTATGCGCTGTATTTTGTCATACGTCATGACACCTGAAGTCGCCAGCCATTTCATATTACTTGGCAGTTCATCGAAAAGTGCAGATTATACGGCGCATTAACTATTCGGTTCCTGTCCTCATCAGTCAACGAAAAAGACCTTGGGAAACTGTGTGACATCGCATCGCAAATGTACTTTCACAACATGAGAGACAAAATACAAAAGTGTTATCGAATAAAACAAGAGCATGTATGTATTAATTTGAAGTGACAATTATTGTCTACCGTTCTATAGGTACAATGTTCAGTGTTAACAAAGATGACCGTAAGTAAAACTTCACTGAGATAGTTGATTAAAATAGCAATAGCTGTTAGATATCGTTTTAATTTAGGTGTTCATTAAATTTGAGAATTCACAAAAAAATTACTCTGCTTCTCAATAGACCAACAGGCGTTACAAAAAGGCATTACTAGTTGGATATTTTTAATGTTCAACTTCGTTATCAATAAACATTTTTTAAACATGCACATGGGAAACCCTTTGAGTTAAACACTCCAACTGTGTCGAAGTAGTCTATTAACATTTTTAGAGAAAACACACCTACTTGACAAGTGGTGGGACAAAAGTGATCAGAAACCGGAATTTAGGGTGTGGAACGTGGCTGGTTTCAGCCTACGTCAACGAAATTGTACAGAAACCCTTCTTTTTTGCATCTACGAAATATTATTAAGATTACTGCACTAACCTCTTCGGTCCCCTTTCGTTTACTTACAAAGTTTTTTCGTCCGTAAAACTGCTGACACGCTAAGCCGCCAAGTTGTTGAACGAAACCGAAAAACCTTTCTTAACTAATGTCTTAATGTGTGTATTCCGTTTATTTAGAAAATACTTTTAAGTCTAGAAACGATCCACAGGAAATGATTGTTTCTATATGTTTTTAATTCGTTACAGTGGTGAATGACCTTGAACCTCAGGATTGACCCATTGTTATGTGACTGGGCATTGTCCTGTAGATGCATATCCACAATATCTGTAGGACAGAGACAATGTTATTTGCCCACAATTCCTCGTTTAGCTGTAATTAGAGCCTGCTTGGTGCGTCGATAAGTACAATGTGCTCAGTTATCGGCAAAACATTACATAAAAGGTAAGGAAATCGTTTAAAGTAATAGTATAAGCAATAATTGAAGAAGTGTATCCACATGAACGTATGTTGCAATGAAACAATTACTACACAGTTAACGGTTATCCATTTACAGTCAACATCCTTAATAGAAACCCATACGCACTGATGACTGACTACTGAACACATAAATATTTCGATGTCACTAGAAAGAATGGTTCATCGAAATAATCATATGGGTCTGTGGATGGTCTAAAATTCATTAATCTGTTTTTCCCTACATCATTTACAAGGCCGAACCTTCACTGTACGATTATTACAATATCTGGCTTAAATGAAGTTATTTTGGTGTTCTAAAGCTCCATGTGTACGAATGTCACCAGGAAGAGGCTTCAACAAAGGCACATTATAAACTAAGTTTTTAGGTCCATAGCATCGTTCATATTCCTTAGTAAAATTGGGCAAATCCTTTTTGACCGAATCTGTTGCGCTGCTTTATAGTCTGGAATGTGCCAAAAAGCACGTCGCTAATGCTTAACTCTTGAAATTTGGGCACGGCGGTTGATGAAACAATTTTTAATAATTACGGGGTTTAAATACAGAAGGGACAATCGAAAGTCTGTTCTTTTCCATACTGAGACGAAGTCTAATGTCCGACATTTACACTTAAAGTCTGAAGGAGTAATTGCGACACAACTTGACATTTACTTATTTATATCCTTACTTACTTACTTACGCCTGTTACTCCTCGTGAAGGAGCATAGGCCGCTCACCAGCATTCTCCATCCAACCCTGTCCTGAGCAATCCTTTCCAGCTCCTTCTAGTCCCTATTCATCCTTTTCATATCTGCTTCTATTATCCGACGTAATGTGTTCTTAGGCCTTCCTTTTTTCCGTTTCCCTTGAGGATTCCAAGTTAGGGCTTGCCTCGTGATGCAGTTTGACGATTTGCGTAATGTATGTCCTATCCATTTCCATCGTCTTTTCCTAATTTCTTCTTCAGCTGCAAGTTGGTTTGTTTTCTCCCACAAAAGGCTATTGCTGATGGTATCCGGCCAATGGATGTTAAGTATCTTGCGTAGACAACTATTTATAAATACTTGTACCTTCTTGATGGTGGTTGTTGTAGTTCTCCAAGTTTCAGCTCCATACAGTAGAACTGCTTTGACGTTGGTATTGAAGATTCTCACTTTGATATTGGTTGAAAGTTGTTTTGAGTTCCATATGTTCTTTAACTGTAGGAATGCTGTCCTTGCTTTGCTAATCCTTGCCTTTACGTCTGCATCTGAACCTCCTTGTTCATCGATGATGCTTCCCAGGTATGTGAAGGATTCTACATCTTCCAGAGTTTCGCCATCAAGAGTGATTGGATTGTTGTTTTCCGCTTTGAATTTGAGGACTTTGGTTTTCCCTTTGTGTATACTGAGGCCTACTGATGCAGAGACTGCTGCTACACTGGCTGTCTTCATCTGCATCTGTTCGTGTGTATGCGATAAGAGGGCTAGGTCATCTGCGAAGTCCAAATCGTCTAATTGATTTTGAGCTGTCCATTGTATTCCGTGTTTTCCTTCAGATGTCGAGGTCTTCATAATCCAGTCGACCACCAGAAGAAAGAGGAAGGGAGAGAGTAAACAGCCTTGTCTGACTCCGGTCCTTACTTGGAATGCA